TCATGCTGCTGCGCCAGCAGTGAAGAGTTCGACTTCCAGATACAGCCGGGCTTCCTGGGCCACAGTCCCAGCTTCACCAGTTATTGGCTGTGTCTCCCGAGCAAGGTGCTTAACCTCTCTGTGCCTTACTTTCCTCAAGCGCGGATAGTAACAGTATATACCTCAGAAGCTCATTGTGAATTGTGAGAAGTGTTTGCTGAGGCACTGTTGGGAGGCAGACTTAGTGCGTGACACCGAGGATGCAAAGAGGAGCGCACAGGCCGGCGGGAAGAGACATCCGGAGATAGATGGTTTCAATACGGTGATTTTAACACTTCCAGACGAGGGTTGTCGTTTGAGTCACTCCTTCACTTTGGACTGGGGCTGCTGAAGGCAGGGATGAGTTCTGAAATCAAGGTACCCAGGCTTAAACTCACAAATCCTGTGCTCTTTGTAATCAACTGTCTGACATTGCTGTGTTTGACACGGTTTACTTCCCTGAGCCCACTGAATCCTTCAATAAGCCTATGCTGTGCGTAGAATCATCCTCATTTTACAGAAAAGGAGATGGAGCCTCAGAGAGGTAAAGTAATTCTCCTAAGGTCACACAGCTGCTCTGTGGTGGAGCAGGAAAGCAGAGGACCAGCTCTGATAAGAAGAACTGAGTCAGCAGTGTTCCGAACCAAGCCTCCCCCACAGAGAAGGTCTTCACAGACAAGCTGTGACTCGCAAGTATTCAAATTCTCCAGCTTTCTAAGGGGTCGGATCACAGATGCTCTTCTTTGATACAGGCTAAGCTCTAACAGGTTTGTTTTTTTCAGATTATTTGCATCAGGGGAAGTCCAGAAGTAAACTATTATTTTATGACAAGTACAGTAGTTTTTTTTAGGCTCTAAGAAGAAATGGTTTCTGCATTCATAGGAGCACCTTCCTCCAATAGACGGCAAGCCTCCTCACCCAGTGTTTCCCTTTCTGCACTTAGAGTTACCCTGCGATTAACCGCGATCCAAAAATACTATAGAAAATTCCAGAAATAATTCCTAAGTTTTAAATTGCGGGCCATTCTGAGTAGCATGATGAAAAATCTCGCAGTGTCCCGCCAGGGACGTGAGTCACTCCGTTGTCCAGCGGGTCCACGCTGTATACGCTACCTGTGGGTCAGTCACTTAGCAGCCGTCTCCGTGATCAGACCGACCGTCCCGGTATCACAGTGCTTGTGTTGCAGTCACCCTTCTTTTACTTCCTAATGGACCCCGAGCGCAAGAGCAGCGATGGTGGCTATCCGGATACGCCAAAGAGAAGCCGTAAAGAGCTTCCTTCCAGTGAAAAGGGAGAAGTTCCTGACTTAACAAGGAAAGCAGAAAAGATTGTATGCTGAGGTTGCTAAGATCTATGTAACTTTCATTACAGTATGTTGTCATAATTGTTCTATTTTATTATTATTGCTGTTAACCTCTTACTGTGCCTAATTTGTAAATTAAGCCCCATCGGAGGTATGTATGTATGGAAAAAACATCCCATGTGTAGAGGTCGGTACTGTTGCGGTTCAGGCCTCCACTGGGGGTCTTGGAAAAGTACCGTCTGAGGATTGGGCCGGGGGTCTACCATACTTAAAACAAGACAAAAGACCAGGGCCCTGAGTTCTGACACATGTCGGACTTTGTCCTGTGTGGACGGCATTCGCCGAGTTATTTTGGATGCTGAAAGCCTTTAGGCAGAACTCTTGTAACAGGCTCATGAGCGAGCTGTTCACTCTTTATTCTTGGACAAACCTAAGTCGGAAAGGCTAAGTTTACGAAGTTTAGATCGTTTCCCACAGGACGGAGCAGAAAACTGCAGGAAAGGGGCAATAGGACAGCTTTTCCTTTTCCTTTCACTCTTAGTCATAGGAGAAGTGACAGTGACAGGAGGAACACTGGCTTGAGCCTCGCTCTCAGCACGGACCAAGAAGGTACGAGAAGCACCCGGTCTTGGAGAGGCTCCCGGGGAGCCAGACAGCGCCATCCTCCCTCACATCCGCCAGAGGGCGCGCTCCAGTCTCACATTACTTTTCTGCCGGAACTACTTGAGTCAGTTTCTTAACCTCTCCAAGCTTCCGCACCCTCATGAGGATGGGGAGCTGTAAGGACTAAACGTGACAACAGATGCAAAGTTCCTGGCTCATGATAAGGCCCAATAAGTGACAGTTTCTCCCTTATCACTCACCCAGTAAAAATAAGTTCATCTGGAAAGACCCAGCTGGCTCCTCAGGTCGAAGTTCTTCTGGGTTCACAGCTTGTCTCCTTGTGACTCAGGACCTGTTGGCTCTGGAAAAAACAATTCGGGATCTCCACCCTCCCAAAATTGCTGACCTCATGTCGTTGCTCCACATCAGAACGTACCACAACCTCACAATTACAGAAGCTGCTTTGCAACTTTGGACCAGAAGGGTGCCTGGGGAGTCCAACTATGAAACATGGTGCCCCGGATTCACTTGTCTCAGCCTTGCCAGTAGAGCGATCACTGGTCTAGAAGTCAGGAGCCCTGGATTCCACTCTGAGCTCCTCCATCTATCCCTGAAGTGGCCTTAAGCAAGTTGCATCATGTCGCTGGGACCTAGTTTCCCCATTGATAGAATGGAATGTTGAGTCAGCCGTCAGTCTGCAGCATCCTTCCCACTTCTGTTGTTCTGTGATGATAGTCCTTCCATCATGGCCAAGTGTAACCCAGGGGTGATAGATTGCATACATTATTTGCAAACTTTATGTTACTGTTATTTTTTTAAACCAAACTAATTATACTGTTTTCAGTTGCTTCAGGAGAATATGTGCCCAGCTGGATAAATACTTGTTTTTCTATTGGCTCATGGGATTTTTGTTCCAAGACTCTGTTGGGCAAGTTAGGCCCATTTTGGAATTTGGTTAAGGAGACCAGTTACCTGAGAGATAGTAACCTTTATCCCAAAACTTGAGCTTGACATTTCGTACAAGCGTAAGTCACGGCATACCGTATTTATGTGTCTAACTACCTCAACCCCACCCCCCCACCTTCTCACTGATATTTTCACCTCGAAAATATGGGATTTGGAGAGGGAAAGCAAGGGTCTGGGGCCAGCCCTTCACTACCCCCTGGGAACTGTCCCTCGTCTTTCAGATCCACGCCTGTTTGCTAGATCTGTGATCTGCTGGATTCCGCAGCATGCACCAGGCAAGTTCATCGGATCCAAGAGGACCTGCCACTCCCCCTTTTCTCAGCCCCCCATAGGATCGAGTGAGACTTCGGAGCTGTCTCTGAAGAACGATGAGAGGGAGGTCATAAAGGCTGATTTGCAAGGTGTTCTCCAATTAGGGCTCAGTTTCTTTAGTTGTCAGAGTGAAACTGGAGACCCTTGGGTCCCTGGCAAGAATGGGGGGCTTTGTGAGCCCAGTTAACTCCTGGGGAGTGCCTTGCGGGGGAATGCATGGGGTGGGGCTGGGGTAGGAGTCCTACCTCTGGACCTAAGGAGGAGGCAGGCAGGAGAGAGTGAGAGCGCTGAGGGAAGGGTCCACCCTAGCCAGCTTTTGCTTTAGTTTATCCTGTTTTTTCCTCCTATGACAAGAGGCATGCTTATTAATAACAGTTCAGAACATCACAATTTCAAAAGTACGCCCTTATTTTCATCCACGTGGCAGGCCTATGAGCTCAGCAGAGATGGGCATGTGAAAGGCCAACTTACTGGTTCTCGCCAGTACACAAAGCTGTTTTCCAGGGGAAGGCTGGATGTGCACCCGAAGGAGCCCTCCGAAGCTGGCCTCCACCTGGGGCACGGACCACAGGTTACTATCCCTTGTGGACTGGGGAGGGGCCCCAGGACAGGACCTGCAGTAATCCAGCTCCCAGAGCCTGAAATATCAAAAGCTGGATGTTCACGGATGATTTACAGGGAGACATGCAGCGGTGGGGCCAACCCGAAGGCCTGAGTCAGCAGACAGGAACATCCTCGCTCAGTATGCTGCTTATTTCAGAAGGGAAATTATCATCGGAAGGCCAATTTATTCACTTAAAGTGAAAAATACAAATTTCAAGTGAACCAGGCATTCATGTTAGCCCAGCCTCTCCTGACAGATAAACTACGTAGGAAACCAAATTCTTAGAAGATCGCTCAGGGAGTAGCGAGTCAGAGAAAGGGGCATTTGCCAGTCTCAAGGTGTGTCTTTCAGCCGCTTGAGGCCACTCCGCACCCCAAGGAAGCAAGAGCCTTGCCAAGAAGTCAGTAATGCTCAAGTCTGGTGAGCTGAGCCCTCCCTCCGCGTGCGAGGCGTGGACGGGCGCTGCCAGCACTGGCCTTGGCGGCACTCCCTTCTCACTGCTTCTGTTTCCCATGGTCCTTATCCAAACAGGGCTACAATACAAATCATGAATTTTCCGCTTGCTTTCTGGGACTGCTCCCAAATGATCTCAATTGGAATTTCTGCAGTTCCAAAACTCATTAGTCACACATTTATAAACAGTGTCTTCGTTTCCTAGCACAGATGGCTAATCCAATTCACTAAGTGTGGATTTTACTAGGTTAGCTCTTGAAAATCCTGTTTTTGATTTTGTGAGCAGCCTTCCATTTTCTATAGACAAAGTTATACGTGTGTGTGTGTGTGAGAGTGTTTCACAAATTTAGAAATGGAGATTCAGAGGGGCTGAGTGCCTTGCCCTGGGTCACACAGCTGACGATTGAAAGAGCTGGAACTCACACCCAGATCTTCCGAGTTCAGATCCCACTCTTGTTCCATTGGATGTCATCAAGTTTTCTACTATTAGGAAGTTTCATTTGGAAGCAAGAAAAGAAAATGTGTTTTTGAGAATTAGCTTTAAACAATATTAACTGACTTTTTTCCCCGAAGTGGCGGGGATGGGCTGAGGCAGGAAAGTGTGCAGTAGAGGAGATGAGAAGATGTAAATAAAAAAGTCACTCAGAGGTTGCCTCCTGCCGCAGGGCCATGAGGCCCAGGCACAGAGCATCCAGCCACCTTCTCTGAGAGTGCACAGTAAGTGGATGTGTTCTGTTGCAGAATCTGAGTGTGTCGGAGGCAAGAGGAAAAATCCTCCACTATCGGGTGAGCTTGCAGGAGGTGGCAGGGGAGGAAGCCACACTGCAGAACATCACAGAACATACCTCCTGGACCTGGGTCGTTTCCGGAACTGGAACCTGGGCTGCGGCTGTGTCTGCAGAGAACTCAAAAGGCAGCTCCCCGCCCACTCACATTAACATATCGGACCTGTGTGGGGCAGGTAAGTGCCGCCTGTTCCTTAATATTGTCCGTGGGATCTGTGTCTTACTCATCTCCTCTCCAGCCCAGGGCCTGGCGTGATAGCCCAGGAGCTTGGACTCCAGAGTCAGCAGCCTTCAGAGGCTGTCTTTTCCGCTCGGCCTGTGAGTGGCCTTGGACAAGTGAATTAACACCTCGAAGCTTCAGTTTCTCCCTCTCGAAAGTTGGGATTATATTACCTGCCTTGCAGGTCATCGTGAGATTCAGCACAGAGACTAATACACAGTAGGTGCTGAATCGATGTTAGTTACGAAATACAAGTTACATTAAATTGAACACTAATATCTGGCTAATTTTTCCGGAAGCAAGAATAATATGCGTTGTCAAGTTCTGGAAAAAACATCTTATACCTACAATCAAAACATATTTTAAAATCAATAGTATTAAAATTATTAAAATGAAATTCTGATTGTAATGATATTATAGTAAAAGCTTTCTATACAACAGCTCTTTATTACACAAATTTAGATATGCATCCAATTATCTACACTGACAACCTCCCAACTAGCTATCTACATTTGAGAGTACCTCCTCTGAAAACTAACTTCTCAAGATAAAAACCCATGATTAGTCAAGAAAATGGATATTCATGCTGTTTCTCAAGACCTGAATTATAAAAGGATTCCACGCCAAGATCATTGGCCTAACTCTTCACCAAAATGCCTAATAGAATAAAACTACAATTAGATCCTTCCTTCCTTAAAATTCAGTGTAGCAATTTTAGCAACATGTGAGTCTAGCAATCATTTTGAAGAAGTTTCTACCAAAACATATTTTATAAAATGTATATTTTATATATACTATATAAATTATATATATGAAAAAATATATATGAAATATATATATATGAAATAACTAGAAAATAATACAAGTAAATATTGATATCACCTTGGGTTGGTATAGGAGTTAGGAATTGCTCTTAGCAATAAGGGGTGATCTGAGCAGACCCCTGACTTCAGTGACTTATTTATTCTCTCACATAAAAGAAGTTCAGGGGTAGACAGCTCAGGACTGGTGTGACAGCTTCGTGACATCATCAGGACTCCAGGCTCCTTCTTTCTGTTCCCTCTGCTAAGTTGGCTTCCATCCTCAAGATGGACATGGTCCAAGATGGCTGCTGTTGCTCCAGCTATTTCCTTCTAGGCAGTAGAAAAGAAGAAGGGAGGGAGAAGGGCTCAGCCCTTGATCTTGATGAGCTTTGCCCCAGGTCACACGACACACTTGCAGCCATTGACTGTCACCTGGCCACGCCCAGCTGCTGAGAAAGGGGTTTCAGGCAGCACTGCTCCCTTGCAAAGATGACAAGGAGGGGTATTTGGTAGCACCTGGTAATCTCTGCCTCTCGTGGGGCAGGTCCCTAAGGCAGAAACCTGAAGGTAAAGATGGATTAATGATGGGGGAAAAAAAGCTTAAACTTTATACATAGTAAAATGTATTTTTTAAACACCGTAAATAAAACTTGAAAAATGTAAATGGCAATTTAAGAAAAGTATATATCACATTTTTGCCAAAAAGAGGATTGATTATCTATTTATCTAACTTTTTCAAATAAATAAGAGATCAGAGGATATGAACTGTCAGCTCAAAAAATAAATATAAAAGGAATAATAAGGAAATGAAAATATGCCCAGCCTAACTGGCGATCAATGAGATGCAAATTTGGGAAAAAACATGAGAAACTGAAGTGGGCTAAGGAAGAGCAAGAATTAGTACAACCCACGTAGGTGAGAGTGTCAGGAAAAGAGACTCTTGCACACTGCTGTGGGCGTGCAAATTGGCACCGCTTCCTGAGGAGCAATTTGGCAATTTGTAACAGACTTTAAATATGAACATATCTTTTGACTAAGAAATTTTACCATTAGAAATATATCCTCAGCAAACGATAAGAGCTTAAAAAATGTAAGCATGAACATGTTTGTTGAAAAAGTTTTTGCAATAGTGAAACAGCACCCACAGCCTAAATGTGTGACCCTAAAGGATGGACTGGTTAAGTATATGACGGCTGTCACCTGCCTTAATCCCACGCCAGCATTAACACGATGCTGTAGCCAGGCTTTTATCGACATGGAAAGATACAGATAATAAGCGAAAAAGCAGGCTTTCAAGAGTACACGTGGTATGATGTCATTTTAAATATATGTTCACACAGTACACATTTTAGCACAGTAAAAACATCTGGGAGAATGTGCGTGAACCTATTAAGAGAGGTCATAGCTGCATCATGGCATTACAGATGATCTTTCTTCCCTTTGGCTTTTTATATTTAAAATTTTTTCTTCAATGGATAAGTACTGCATATGTAATTTTAAAGGGAATTCTGTGGGAGGAAATTGAAATCATAGCACTGTTTAGCATGCTGCTCTTGTTAAAATGTAACATGTCAAAATACCTTACTTCCTCAAACCTCACCGCAGATGGGTCTCGAGGATATAAGCATCGTGAGTTTTCTGGGCCCATTCCAAGTTCGTCAGTTAGAGTTGGTAACGGCTTGTCAAAACGAAACATTCATTGTTTCAGAGTTGGCCCCTCCTTTTTTTATTCAACAGTGATTTACTGAGCATGTCCTGTAGAAGGTAACGGGAGTCCAGCAGTAGGTAGAAACACCGTTGAGGTCCTCCTGTTATATATTGTCGAGCGGGAGCGCAGACACATACACAAGTAAACTGCAGCGCTGTGTGACAAGTGTGAGACTAGCGGTAGGCACAGGGAGCCCCAGGAGCAGAGGAGCGCGAGCATCGGCTGGGAGGGGAGGCGACGTGAGCACATCTGAAGACTCAAGTTGGTGTTAGCCGGGTGAAGGAGGGCAGGTGTGTGGGCGCGAGGGTGTGTTTTCAAGTGAGATCTGAGTGGGCGTGTAAGTTGAAGAGAAGAACTGGTGTGGGGGAGAGTTGAAGATAAAGCGGAGAGGGGAAGTCCCTGGGGAGCTGGAAGCTGATGGGATCCAGTGGCTAAAAGAGGTGAGAGGAACACTTCCTCCTCTCAGAACGGAGAGTCGCCACATAGGGATGAGGCTCAGTGAGGATGAACGTGGAGGGAAGGTGAGGGAGGACATTGAAACAACTCTCTAGAACATTGAGGTAGCTAGGAGGGTCCTGGGCCTGGAACTCTTGGCGTCTCAAGAGCCTGCTGCCTCTCCTACGACCACCCGGACCATCCAGTATAATCAGTTGTGAGTCCCAGAGTGACCTGGAGGACAGACTGCCAAATCGCGTGGTCCCGTCCTTGAGTGGTCTTGTCTCATACAAATTCTGAATGATCTGTAGGAATAGTGTACCGTGATTTTGTGTCTCCCTTTCTTTCAGTATATGTTCACACTACTTACATGTATAGCTTTTCTTCTAGGGAGGGAAGAAGAATGCCCCAACAGGCAAAGATATGTTGATTTTGAGAAAGTAGGGACAACTTTATTGTAAAAGCCACTTCCCACAGTATTGCATATCAAGAAGCCCAAGGATGATTTTGTTGGTTTATAATGAAAACTGAATGTATGCTAAACCCACCATCAACAAGTAAAAAGTATTTAATATTTCAGGCCAGTTCCTGTGCTTAAGAATTCTTGAAACTACAGGAAGAGGCAGAAGCCAGTCTAGTCATTCACAGAGGCCCACAGGGAGGTGGGAGACTGAGGCCCCCAAGAGGTGCAGTAACTTAGCTAAGATCGAATATCCCATTAATGGCAGAGCTGGGCTGAAAAACCAGGCCACCTGTCCCTTGGGTGGGCACTTTTTCCAAGTACCTTATCAACTTCATCACTATAGACGCTCTCAGTGAAAAGGGAGGTGGGAAGTTGAATGATTGAGGCTAAGGGAGTAATTTTGGATGGGGTGACAGAGAGAAAGTCAGTCGCTAGCAGAGTTGTGAAGGTGAGAACGCACTCTGGCAGACATGGGCAGGGTGGGGAGTCCAGGCTGGTTCCTGGCAGGTGTGGTGACTCAGGCGGGGCGACACCAAGGTGATTTGCTTCGACAACTCCAGAGAAAGCAGTGGTTGGAAAGGCTATTGCAGCCCGTCATCTGCAAAGGGTCTTATGAGCCCTAGGTGCTCAGTAAATATTTACTGAATGAATACATTTCATTCTCAAAAAGAAGATAATCTGTGGCATAGCCAGGACATCAAATGCCAAAGGAAATGAAGAGAAAGGAAGTACTGTTGGGGATTCCAGCTCCTGACAAGACAGGCACCACACCGGTTACCTGCTCTTACCGCCAAGCCAGGCCCTGAGGAGCACAGGAGAGGGCTGATGGCTGAGCCCCTGTGCGTGGGAATAGTGCTGAAGGGGGCGGGCTGCAGGAGCACTTGCTGGTTGCCTTCCTTTTTCTTGCCCGTATTGCCCTGATATGATCATAGCCCGGGCATTTCTACTGTGGGGCTGGCAAGTCCAGAGAACCGGGCAGAGGAACTTCACAGAAGCCCAGAAACCTAACCGTGGGGAGGGAGCTTCCGGCAGAGTGCCGGGGCGCTGGCTGCCCTGCGATTTCTCCAGCACCCGCCCCCTGGACCTGGCAGTTACAGAACAGAATGATAGCCCCGCTCCCTGTGAAGAGCAGTGCCAGCCACGGAGGCACCGGTAGGTTCTGGAGGGGCCAGGTCTGCCTAAGGGGAACCTGGGGACAGGTGGAGCTCAGGTTGCATCACTCCAGGCTCTCTGGCTGGAGCTTCCCCCACGCAAGAGCTCCTCCTCCCACCTAAACTGACCTGGGGAGCCGGAGCGACAGCTAAGCTTTCACTCCGGCTGGGAAAAATAAAGGCATGGCTGCCGATGAGCCCAAGATAATAAAACATGATCCTGGAGGAGAAAACTGGGGGAAATCTGAGAGGCACGAGTTCTGGGACAGAAAGGCACCAAATGGAGCAAGCTGTGCCACAGGGAATCTAACGAAGGCCACAGACAGCACGGAAGCTTGGAATGTGCGTGAAGAGTGTCCTGAGAAAGATGAGAGAGGCTGCTAGACACAGGAGTCAGAAAGAGGGGTGTGTGAAGAAGCCCCCAAAAAGACTCAGTATGGGAAGTTTAATTGTTGAAATAAAGAACTTAGCCAATAGGTGGGATAGCAGAAAGGACTGACCCGAAGACTGAATCAGTGAGTGGAAGATTGGGTGAGAAACTCGCCAAAAGGCATCAAAAATGGGGAAAGAAGCTGAAAAGTGAGAAAACTTAAAGCACTGAAAGAATAGAAAGAGAAGTAATGACAGCAGCTTAAAAGGAGTCCCAGTAAGAGAAAAAAGTAAATGAAAGGGAAAAAATACTTGAAAATATTTATCGAGACTCTTGCAGAATGTACCGTCTGGTGCAGGATGTCGATAGAGGGGAGGCTCTGTGCCTTCCACTCATTTTGCTGTGAACTTAAAGCTGCTCTAAAAGTAAGTCTATTTTTAAAAAGTCTACACACACACAAAAAATAGTGCAGAATGATCAAGCAGCGTCGACCCCAAGAAGAAAAGGATGGATCAGTATCAGAAAACTGTATCACTGTAATTCATCACATTAATACTGAAAGACGAAAAAAGGGATGTGTTCTTGACAGATGTAGAAAAGCATTTAGTAAAAAAATGTTTTTAGTAAATAAACAGGATTTTATAAAAATAAAACCTATTTGAAAACTATGAATAAAAGAAAACTTTTTAGTTTTTAAAGACTTTCTACCAAAAACATGCAGCAAATATCACCTTAATAAAGATACATAGGCACATTCTCTTTAAAGTAAGCAACAAGATAAAAAAAAAAGGAAATAGATTTAATTTAAAGATTGGGAAGAGGAGATAGTTTAAGTGTGCAGCTAATAAGATTATGACATGGAAAATTCAGGAAGAGTAATAGACAAATCATTAGAACTAATTAGAGAGTTTAGCAGCTTTTCCAGAAAGAAGAATAACACACAAATTAACAGTAGAAAATAAGATGCCATTTAAATAGCAAATTAAAAGCATAAAGTGTTTAGGAATTCAGCTAATAAAGAATTTATGAAAACTTTAAGGAGGAATTTTTAAACCTCCATTAAAAGATAAAAAAGCAGAGCTTAATAATTTCAATGAAACAGCATATTTACGAATGGAACAATTTAACATTGTAACAGCATTAATTCTCCCTGAATTAAACTATAAATTTAACTTAATCCAATAAAAAAATACCAGTTGGAATTTTGGGGGATTCCGATAAACTGATTCTAAAAACTACACGGAAGAATGAATTTTCATGAATATCCAAGGACACTGTTAAAAAGGGGAGCAAAATGAGGAGGGGTCTTTGCCACCCAGTCAGACGTCACAAAGCCTGGCGATGTGACCTGTGTGTTCTCGAGACTGGGCTGGCCCAGTCAGAAACCCATGAATACATGCACCTTGATGTGTGTCAGGGATGGAATCACGTTTGGAAAAGTTGATTGATTGTGTGGGAAAAAATAATAAAATTTATTCTCTTAAAACAAAACAAAACAAAACCTTTCAGCTAGATTTGGATCAAAAACCTAAATGTGAAAGTTGAAACCAGAGGCCGATAGGAGAAAAGGTGTTGAGTCTCCTCGAGACCCCAAGATAGAAGAATTTCCTAGACAAGACTGAAAATGCACAAACCATGGATACATTTACCTACATCGAAGTAAGTATTTATGTGCAACAAACACGTAACAAAGTTATCAGGGAGCTGAAAGACTGGAGGAAGATATTTTTAGTGGTGAAAACTGATAAGTGATTAACATCTAGAATATAAAAGCTATTTCTGCAAATCAGAGAGAAGACAGGAAATGCAACAAAAAAAATAAGTAGGAACCGACAGTTCACAGAAAGAGAAATTCAAACAGCTGGTAATATATGAAGAGAAGCTCCGACTCACAAAAAATCAGAAATGAAAATAAAACCACAATTAAATACCACTTTACATGTACCAGATTTGTAAAAATGAGAAAGTCAGAAAATACCAAGTGTTAGTGGGGAAATGAGAACTCTCATGCTTTTCTCATTGGAGTGTCAAGTGATTGGCTCTTTTAGGTCAATCTGGTCATATTTAGTGAAATAATATGTGAATTTACTCTACAGTCGAGCAATTCAGCGCATATACATCCAGAGACACTCGCACAGGCACACACAAGGACATGCAAGAGAATGTTCATTGCATCCGTGTTTGTGTTAGCCAAGCGCTGGCAGGACCTCCCGCTGTCTCTGGGAGACTGGAGCGAGAGAGGGTCGGGGCAGCAGTCTGCGGGCTGAGCTGGGTTTACGGACAGCAGGGGGCCTACGTCCTAGACCCGTGATGCTGAGTGAGAAAGATCAGAAAAAGCATCAGATGTACTCCCAGCATGGTTCATGAAAGCACAACACACAAGCTCCAAGCAACACTCATTTTCAAGGATACATACATGTCTGAATAAACATGTAGAGGCAGATTAGAAGGGTGCATATTATATTCACCAGAGCAGGTACCTTTGGGGACACACAAATGGAAAGTGAAATGGAAGATGAAGGGGAAAATAATTCTGCAAATAACACTACCCGGGGCCCTGCACCGATGCCAGTTCTCCAAGATCTGAGAAGGAGGGTGAACAAATCTGTGAACCTCAAAGTCCATAGAAAGACATCGGTTCTTCCTAGAACTTGGCTGGGGTGAGCTGTTGTTTTTGCATCTTTATCCACTGAGGTTTTGTCCTTGTCCCCTCCTCTTTTCTTCATACAGGGCCGTTGGCGCCTCTCCAGGTGTCTCCAGCCGCGGAGAGCACAGACAGCATCACGGTGAGCTGGGAGCCTCCAGGCGGAGCCGCCCCTGCTGTCCAGGAGTATGTGGTGGAATGGGCTGAGCACCAGCCCGGGGGCGGCACACAGGCCCCTCCACACTGGCTGTGGAGCCCCCCCACCAACGTGTCCGCCCTGATTGCAGGTACCTAATTGTTCACCTTCCTTCTGGAGAGTTCCTAAGTTTACATTTTCTGAGGAAATTGCAAATGGGAACCCAGAAGCTTGCCCTCAGTTACAGGCGGCTGCATGAGAAGAGGGACAGCGGTGACCTAGGGTCACCCGAGAACACAATTCTGTAGCCACAGAAAACCAACTGACCCCCTGAGCATACAAGTTTTCATTATGGAAGATTCTGTGCCCGGCAGAGGCCAGATAAGGTGAATGAGTAATTGAACCAAACCAGCATGGCTGAGAGTGAAGTAGTAACCGCTCAGTGGGGTGGGCACCTCACATTTGGGGGTTCATTTAATTCTCAGAACAGTGCAGCAAGAGTTGTTATACCCATGGTACAGAACAGGAAACCAGGAGGGCTTTCATCCCCAATTCAGCTTCTTAGTATTTGTGTGATGATAAATCCAGAATTATATATATGATAACTGGTGTCTCTAGTCTTCAAATCCACATTTGTCACTGGTTACTATCAAGTGATAGAAAGCATCTGAAAATATGTTAAAATGATTGGACAGAACTTAGTGTCTTTTTTTTTGGTGAGGAAGATTGGCCCTGAGCTAACATCTGTTGCCAATCTTCCTCTTTTTGCCTGAGAAGATTGTTGCTGAGCTAACATCTGTGCCAATATTCCTCCTTTTTATATGTGGGATGTTGCCACAGCGTGGCTTGATGAGCAGTGTGTACCTCTGGGCCCAGGATCTAAACCCGTGAACTCTGGGCCACCAAAGTGGAGTGCGAACTTAACCACTATGCCACCAGGTCAGCCCCATTGATGTTATTTTTAAGTATAAGTTCAGCATAGTGGTTAAAAGTGCTGGTTCTGCACCTAGACTGTCTGGGTGTGAGTCCTGGCTCTGTTACTTACTAGGCTGTGTGATCCAGAGCAAAGTACTTAACTTCTCTGTGCCTCTGTTCCCTTATCTGTAAAATGGGGATAATAATATTACCTACCTCACTAGGTGATTGTGAGGACTAACTGAATTAATATAGAGAAAATGTTTTGAAGAGTGTCTGACACATTTTAAGCGCTTGAGGGGCCGGCCCAGTGGCGCAGAGGTTAAGTTCATACATTCTGCTTCGGCGGCCTGGCGTTCGCCAGTTCGGATCCCCGGTGCGGACATGGCACCGCTTGGCAAAAAGCCATGCTGTGGTAGGCGTCCCACAGATAAAGTAGAGGAAGATGGGCATGGATGTTAGCTCAGGGCCAATCTTCCTCAGCAAAAGGAGGAGGATTGGCAGCAGTTAGCTCAGGGTTAATCTTCCTCAAAAATAAAATAAAATAAAATAACATAAATAAATAAATAAAGTGCTCGATAATGTAGCTACCATAATTATTATTATATGTGACAGCGTTAAGATTTTAATAGGCTTTCAGCTCTAAATCCCGTAATATTGTCATTGCACCATGACAGTCATCACACCTGTCCAGGAGGACACACAGGCCCTGCTGAAGGAAATAAGACTTGCACAAGTGAAATAAAGAGAGGACACCGCGGGGCAATACACAGCTGCTCCTTAACCGTGTGCCTCTCTGCTCTAGCTGCTCAGGCTGCTCGTGGGCTGTGCTCGGTTCTAATCACTACACCTACAGAGAAGGCTGCCTGCATAACCCGGTGGGCATCAGAGGAAGTGAGCAAGTCCCTGGGCATCTGGAACCTTTCACGTGGGGACCATTTAGCTGTAGAAGAGAATTCTAGAAGGGTGTGGGGCGGTCTGATGGCTGTTGCTGGCTTCGAGGTGTGCATGAGAGCACGCGTGTGTCCTTCGCTGTTGTGGAGAGAAAAGCTGAGGCCCCCGCTTGGGAATTGCAAAAAGGCAGATGGCAGCTCAGCTTCGAGACAGACCTTTCTTTGCGCGTGCTGGTCTCCAGGCAGTGCGTTTCCTGTCCCGGGAGTTGTCGCGAGAGAACCAATTTTCCTTTAGGGCCGTTCGGCCCAGCAGATCAGATGAAACAGCGGAGAGAAAAGGCATTTCTTAGCTCCAAACCGCCACAAAATTGTAAAGGCTTTTTATAAACTGTATGAGGACGTCCCCTGGTGGGACAGCTGGAACCAAATACTCCCATAGCTCCTTCCTTTTAGACATTCTATACTTTACAAAAATACCATAAAATAGAGGACAAGAGAGAATGTTTTCCATACTTAGGGAACTAAAATGTTTTTAAGCACTTTAGAAATATTTGTTTGAATAAAATCAATATAACACTGGATAAAATAACTTTATTAAAGTTGCTCTCCTGCTTAAAACACTTGGTTAACTATGAGTTTGTGTTGATGTTACGTTCTGGAAATAAACACAAAAAATTAAGTAATTCATAGTTATCATGAATTCAAAATGGCCCTCTCCAGTCAGAAAGGGGATTCCTTGCCCTCAGAGCCTCACCAGCCTTTTCCCAGCACCCGGCTGGGGCAGAGTGAGGTGCTTTGGGGTGGGCTAGAACACAAGACAGCTCCTGGATTATAGGTTGGGGGCCCAAGCTGAGGTCATCAGTCCTGTCCTTCCTGGGTGAGAATGGTTCTGATGTCCAGAGCCCCTCCTTTTGCAGATATGTAGGTCAGGGTGTCTAGAGAACCTGCCTGGATGCCTCGAGGGTTTCGGCCCCTTTCCCGCCTGCTCCCATCATACTTTCTCCATGACGCCTCCCCATCACTGATCCTCCACTGTGGGCCTGCTCCCACACTTCATAGCTGAAATTCGCTGCTTGCAGATAATTCACCTAAGAGATGCTTTATAAAGGTGGAGACAGAGCCCTCGCCCAAGGGTGCCAGGTATATATGGATGCATGGGAGTAGCGGGAAATGAGCCTGGAAGTTGGGGCCAGATGATGGAAAGGAAATGAAAAGCTTAGGAGCATGGGCTGCATCCACTGGGCAGCGGGGCTAAGGAATTTTGGAGGTGGAACACAGACATGATGAGGGGGTGTTCATATAGGAATTTGCCAGTAAAACAGGAGACCTTAGGCTCAGAATCAGGGAACGGGCGTGCTAGGACTCGACACTTTATGGGAAAGGAAATGTCAGCTGAGTTATGGCGCCACGTCTTCTTGCCTCCTCCAGTAACAGTGGAGGACGAAGCCCACGGCTTCTGAGGCAGCAGTTCCCAGGGGCTCTGCCCTGAACCCACATCCTGCATGGCAAAATGCAATGAAACCGTTTGCCTAATGAGCTCAACTGGGACGCCCACACCTCCACGGGGCGCCAGTGGGTGGTGGGCTCCTTCCAGCACTCGAGGCAGAGCAGCCGGGCACGAGCCTCGCCCGGATGAAATGGGAGCTCCTATTCCATGTTGCCCTTTGGGTTCCTGGGTCTGGATGCCACCCTCGAAGAATCTTTAGATTACTGGACTAAGCTGATGGCATCCTTTTCTCCATTTCCCTTGGTTCATGAATATGAACTGGAACTCACCCATGGCATGAGTTGGGATCTCCTCATGGTCTCTTCTGACAGCACTGGTTGCACATCTGAGCATTATATGCTACCTGCTTGCTGGAATATTTAAGGGACGATGGATTTTCATATAAAACACATACTATTTAGTAAATTATTCTGTGATGAAAATCCCTCTTCCCTCCCAAAAAATATTAAACCCTAATCAATTGTCAGTATAGGAAACCAGATCTATCTATGGCAGGACATTAAACAATACGGGAGAGAGGCCGTACTCTGACCACATGATGCTATAGTTACCTAGTAGGCATTATGTCTCTTTTTTCTTTAAATTTTCATTGGGAATTTAAAGTTATGGCATGGGCAGTATCCTACATGCGGGGCCTTTTCTTTACAGGAAGCAGAATCACTTGCCCACACAGATCTTCCTCCGCTTACCATGGGGTTACATCCCAATAAACCCACCCTCAGTTGGAAATATCATAAGTCGAAAATGCATTTAATATACCTAGCCTACCGAACATCATAGCTTGGCCTGGCTTACCTTAAACATGCTCAGAAAACTTATATTAGCCCGCAGTTGGGCGAAGTCTATTTTATCGTAAAGTGTTGCCTATCTCATGTAATTGGATACTATACTGAGAGTGAAAAGGACAATGGCCGTGTGGGTGCAGACTGGGTGTAAGTGTGCCGGTTGTTTACCCCGGGATCTCGGGGCTGGCTGGGAGCTGCGGGGGCTGCCCCTGCCCGGCATCAGGAAAGACCATCACACTGCACATTGCTAGCCCAGGAGAAGATCACAATTTGAAGTACGGTTTCTACTGAACGTGCATTGCTTTCACACTATGGTAAAGTTGAAAAATCGTCGATGGAACCATCCTAAGTCAAGGACAGTCTGTAAAACTTCATGACTGACAGAAAGTTGCAGTGTGGCACTTCAAGAGCTAGGAAGGAGCATTAACATTGCCAGGTACCTTCCGTATCTTCCAGGCTGCAAAGCCACTGATGTCTACGTGGAACCTGGCAGGGGAAGGGGTGGGGGAGGGGACGAGGGGCTGGCTTGCACCCCACGAGCCGGGTTAGTCACGCTCCGATGTGTCATCCTGTGCTCCTGTCAGATCCCCATAAGCATCTGTGGAACTAGAAGAGCCTTTCAGGTTCTGTGCCTGCAAAACACCAGCCACACCTTTCTGTACACAGCAAATGATTTATTTGTAGAAGTCCAGGTTTTTTCTGGAAGGTGAGTTTTGTTTCAAAAGCAGTCTGTGTGCTTCTATTTAAATCCTTGTTGGAACGGGAATGGCTTTTGTCTTTTTAATCACAATGACCCCGGACAGAGCCTCGGGTTTGCTTATTTGTCCACCATGAGGTGAAGCTGGGATGGCGCACATCATCCTTTACTCTCAGTCCAGAGCATACTCGAACCATCTTCAAACTAAGCGCAGGCAAGAAATTCGTGAATGCGTCTGTACCAGATAGTGAAGTGGCTCCCGTTAGTGACTCGCATGGGATGCCGCACCTGTTCCACGAACTCTCTTTTCTTGCAGAGAACATAAAACCCTACACCTGTTATGAAATCCGGGTGCACGCGCTGTCAGGGGACCGGGGAAGGTGCAGCTCCACCCGGGGCAACTCTAAGCACAAAGGTGAGTCTTGTGACCTTTGGCCAGATTTTGCTTTAGTTTAATGATTTGGGTTTGGAGGGTGACAAAAGCCTCCTGTGTTCTACGTTCCAGCCCCACTGAGTGGCCCCCACATCAATGCCATCACAGAGGAGAAGGGGAGCATTTTAATTTCATGGGACGAGATTCCAGCCCAGGAGCAAATGGGCTGCATCCTCCATTACAGGATATACTGGAGGGAAAGGGACTCCGACTCCCAGCCTCGATTTTGCGGTATGTGTGAGAAACGAACGCAGGGCCTTCTGGTGCAGGTGTCGGAGAACACAAGCGTGTGTGTGTGCACACACACGCAGTGCTGGCACTGTGCCTGCCACTTTCCAGGTGCTCAATAAATATTTGTGAGATTGAGTGAAGAAGAATAAAAGACATCTACACACACTCACACGGTTACTGAATATATCTTATGTGCCAAGCAAACTGAAGAAATGAAGATAATGGCTCGGGCCCTCAAGGAGCTTACTTATATGGGGAGACAGCATTTCAAAAAGCTATGCAGGCACTTTGAGGCCAGCCCGGTGGTGCAGTGGTTAAGTTCGCACATTCCGCTTTGGCGGCCTGGGTTTCTCGGGTTCAGATCCCGGGTGCGGACATGGCACTGCTTGGCAAGCCATGCTGGGGCAGACATCCCACATATAAAGTAGACGAAGAAGGACACGGATGTTAGCTCAGGGCCAATCTTCCCCAGGAAAAAAGAGGAGGATTGGTGGCAGATGTTAGCTCAGGGCTAATCTTCCTCAAAAAACAAAAATTAATTAAATGATAAAAAAAGCAATGCAGGCACCTCAATACTATTGTGTAGACCCCTGAGGGCTGCGTTTAGAGAATTTTGGAATCCCCACATTTGCAAATACCGTCATAGCATGTTATTTTCTCCTTAAATGGGTAACATGCAATTTAAGTGACCTATAATTGTAAGATTAAAGCAATTAAAATAAATTCCAGCTGGAGCATTATCTCAAATGATTTCACGGCTCACTCAGTGAGGTAGCAGCTCTAAGTCACTTGCCAGATTTGATGTTCTAATTTTTTATTTATTCAGAATTTCGGTTTTTTTCTGGCTTGACCTTCTCCTTGTTTCATAGGCAGCTGGCTTTCTTTCAGGAGAATTTGTCATAAAGAAGTAACATTTTTATTTCTTCATGAGAGCCAGTAGGTCCAAGAAGAACGTAGCAAAGCCACCCTGAGACTTGGGTGCCAGAGCTGCCAGCGAGAGTGACGCATGCCTGGGAAGCTCGAGGAGCTGGTCTGCTCTCTTGACCTTGGAAGACTGGCAGTGTTGCTGTTCTGAAAATTACAACTTTTGAAGCCAGTTAATTTCTTGTTATATAAAAATTACTTGCACATGGTCACAGCATTCAAATAGTTCAGAAAGATATGAAATGGGCATTCCCCATCCTCCATACGTAGGCTGGTAGCAGTTTTTCATGTCTTCTTCCAAAAAAAAGTGACTGCACATACAGGCCCATATTTGGGATGAATCTGTATTTGGACCTGCCCTTGTTTCTGCCTCTCAATAACACACACCAGGGATCTTTCCACATCAGTCCACATGGATTTGCCTCACTCCTTTTTAACAGCTCTCTAGTATTCCATTGTAAGGCCTCGCAATCATTCACTTAGTCCACTGTGGGTAAACAGGCCCTATCACTGTACAGAACTGCTTCCCAGTGGGCCTGTCAGGGTCAGTTCTGAAATGCACCCCAAGAGGTCACGAATTAATTGACCTTGGGCCATTTGGAATTTGCTCCCCCCGAAAATTTCATTTTCACGGAGTTTAAACCGAGATGCCTATTTACAACCAGAAAGGTCAACAGGGTCAGTTGGTTCTTAAAGCTGCTCTTGTAGATATTGAAGAAAATACCTACCTTATTTTGCCACACATCTGAAGAATCTCAAGTCTACAAAAGGGCATTTTCAAATAAGTTAAAAGGGGGAAGAGGCACAGATTCAATCAGTTTAGATTACCTATCCCTTTTATTCGGTAAGCTCTGACGGATGAATAAGACCCTCTCCCCATCTTCCCAGAGCTCACGGTCCGCTGAGGGAGATGGAAAGCACAGGGAAGTGACGTAGCTACTGTCATCAAGGACTGACAACTACCAATCGCGTCTGGCAACCAGAAACCATGGTGGATTCAGAAGTGTGCTTGCTAGAGAGTGGCAGAGGGCAGTAGATGGGGGCGGGAGGAGAGACGCCAGGCGAGAGGCACCACAACAGCAAAAGGAGGAGGGAGCTCGAGGAGGGAGGGCCCTGTCTCCCGTGTCCTGCGCCTCTGTGCCCCCGGCAGAGTGCAGCAGGAGCGCATGGCCCTGCCTGGGCAGGAGAAAGGGGGTAGAACTGGGCTGGCGCCCAGGCACCTGCATTTCGGTGCGAGCCGCAGTGCTTCTGTGCACAGACACTCCTCTGGAAGTTCGCTGATTCCGCCGCGGGCACCAATGACAAGTGCACTTCCCTGCTGGCGCACACGTTATACTTTGTGACTACTTGGCTGTGTTTGCCGACAGACTGTAAGCATCAGGAGGGCAGAAGCCATGGCAACTTGCTCACCGTTGTCTCCCCTGCAATACAGCCAGGCACACAGTAGGTGCTTAGTAAAAACAGTATTTATGGAATAACAAATGGCTGAACACTGCCCTAGACTTTGTTAAACCAACATAGACTGAGAGGTAAAAACTAATTTCCAGTAACAAGGCAGCTGTTTTACCTGGTAACCCTTGACATTATTACCCGCAGCCATTCAGACGATTGGCAACTATCAACTATCCTAAACGGTGCCTTTGTCATTTAACCACCCTGAGCCTCAAGTTTCAGGTGTCAAGGACTGAAAGGCCCCTTTATCTCTGCGGGGACCACGGCCAGCCGGACCGAGGCAGCAGAACCAGGATTTCCTGCACGGCTTCTTGCCCTCTTTCTCCCATTACTCAACTCAACGTATTTGCCAACCAAACTGCTGACCCGTCACCCTCCTCACTGCTCCCCCCAAGAGTTTCTATTTTTATTCTTCAGACATGCATACGTGTGTGAGTGTGTGTGTGTGTGTGTATCAACTTTTTCCGCCCAACAAACCATATACACCCCTTCCCTTCTGTTCCGAGGTCTCATTTCACTGCCAGACCTGAGGATGTCCTTACAGTCGGACAGTGGCTGCGCTTTGCTGCAGCAAGATGAGCAGAAGGTCTCTCCAAAATTAATTTTTTAATCCGCTGCCTTAGGAATAAGGAGATTTTTGAGTTCAATCATCCAGCTTAAGTGCTAGCGAGCAGTTTCATCAGGTTAGAGGAGGCTTAGGAATTTTCCACAGGGTGCTTTTTCTCAGCAGGATGTAAGCTACAGCAATTGCTCTGACAGTTGCAGCTGTTAAGTGATCTGCTCGCCCTAGCCGCTCGGGGGGAGTGGACGGCTCCGGCTTGCTGCTCACCATAGTCAGCAGGGGCCAGGGAGTGTAAGGTTCTCCTTTCCCCACTAGAAGCTGAACTCTTGGAGGCCGAGTGTATACCTTTGTATACTCGGTGCCTTTTCCAGAGCACACAATGAATACCTGTGGCTGTTGAAATACATTCAGCAGACAAGAGCCACCATTCACACGCCCTGGGGTTTGTGAGCCATGATGTCGAGGCCTGGAGTGCTGAGTTCTGGGTTCCACTGTGATCCCCAGCACAGGCACTGTCTGTGGAGCGGACTGGCAGGCTGCTCCTGCCGAAGCTCTGGCGTTGACTTTGCAGCTCTTGCCAAGCTTTGAGAGGTCACCCCGAAACTCCCACCCAGCAGGTCGCTGGAGGAGAAGCCTGCCTACTGACTGAGGGCTGCCGAGACTCATGTTTCTTGGAGGAGAAAAACAGCATCAGCACATTGCTCCAAAACCAGAATCTTCCCTGCTGAGGATGTCAGGGGCCTTGGGAGCATAAGGAACTGATCACCTAGGCTGAAACTGCCAAACTAATCTGAGCGCGATGCTCTCATCTTTCGATCTTATGTCAAAGGGAAGCCGATCGTCATACTAAGGCCACTAAGCCCAGTCCCCAGAGCCTACAGAAAACGTGGAAAATCAAAATTAATAAATGTTACTCAAACGTCTATTTCATTAATTGCTAAACTTAGCATTCTTAAAATTCCATTGAAAACAATTTGTACATTTAATTTCCTCCCCAAGAGTTCTCAAATGTTCCTGATAAATGCCGGAAACTGTCTAGTCACAAGAAATAACAGGAGTTACTAGAGCTAAATCTCAAAGAAAAGTGATGAAAATTCTTTTGCAAGACTTTACCACGGAAAACATATTTAATTCTTTTGATATGCCATGAAGTGGGGCCTCCATAAATGACAGTGTCCGGGGCCTATTCAAGTATTAAGTACTAATGAATTAGGACTATTTCAAAACAGCAATGTGTTCTTCTCTTTCATATTAAATGGAGCATTAACAAATAAAAATAAGTAAAAGCCCACATGCAAATATTTCCATTAATACGTGCCTGTCTTCCTTTCTCTTCCTCTCAGAACTTCCCTATGGGGTGTCCCCAAATTCCCATCCCATAGACAGCCTGCGGCCCAGAGTGACATACGTCCTGTGGATGACAGCTCTGACAGCTGCTGGCGAAAGCCCCAGAGGGAACCAGAGGGAATTTTGTCAGCAAGGTAAGAAGCGACTTTAAAGACAGAGAGTCCACCCTGGGCTGGTGTGGCGTGGGGATGAGCAGATTTTCTTTAACTTGCTCGTTACTTTGCTGCTGCTACACCTTTCTGCTTGCTATTTCCTCTATCTGGAGCACCCTACCACCTCTGTGTCTGCTGGGACACACGGTCTACCCGCTTTTCAAAACTTTCCTCTTCCAGGAAGGCTTCCCAAATGCGTCTCCATATTTCCTTCATAATGCACTACATTTGACCCACGTTCAAAACTCTGATTCCAGCAGGCAGGCACTGGTATCTGTTTCTCTCCATCTCTCCTTACGCAAGGTCTGGAATGGCACCCCGCACAGAGTCCTTGTTCCCTCAATATCTTTTCAATGAATGATGAGAATGATCTCAACAAGAGCAGCTGTTGCGTATCCCAGTCATTATGCACGTCACTGCGTCAGCTGCTTCGCATGCTGTGTTAGTTTGCTGGGTCTCCTGTAACAAAGCACCACAACCTGAGCGGCTCAACAGCAGAAACTTATGTTCTCAAAGTTCTAGAGGCTGGAAGTCTGAGATCGAGGTGTCTGCAGAGCTGGTTTCTTCTGAGGGCCGAGAGAATTGGCTCCACGCCTCCCGCCTTGCTCACCTTGGTGACAATCTCTGGTGTTCTTTGCCGTGTAGATCTCTGCCTTCATCTTCACATGGAGTTCACCTTGTGTGTGTCTGTGTATTCAAATTTCCCCTTTTTATAAGGACACTGGTCATATGGGTTTAGGGGTCACCCATGCCAGTCTGATTTCATCTAACTAATTACATCTGCAATGACCCTATTCCCAAATAAGGCCACTTTCTGCGGCACTGGAGGTTAGGACTTCAACATCTGAATTTGGAGTGGGAGGACACAATTTGACCCTTATAGCACTTGCTTTTGCTCAGTTAATCCTGACCACGACCATGTAAAGTGTCTGCTGTACGTGATTGTCCCTAGCCACACTACCAGGCACTCAAAAGGAAATGAATAAAGGAATGAGGGATTAGGGTGCCTTTTTACAAGTGCAGAAAGATTACCCCCGGTCATGGAGGCGGTAAACGGCAGAACTACAGGTCAGACTCAGACCTGCGTTAGTTAAGGTGGCGTCTATGAAGAAGTGACCCAGCAACATGAGCTCCCAGCAGCTAAGTTACGCTGCTCTCTCTGGCAGCACTAGTTTGCATCTGCTCCAAGCATAAAACAAGCTGTTCTTGCTTTGTGACACGGAGTATCAAGTCGATCATTCAGGACTTTGTCGTTCTGTGCCAGGTCCATCTCTACAGGGAAAACTGACAAGCCCTCTCCTCATCTCCCAGCGCTCCTCTGAAAGTTAACCTGTGAGCAATTAGTTGGATTAAGGACTCAGTGTCTGTCTACTCTGGTACTCCAGACTTGTCCCACCTGCCCGGAAGGAAGGCAGATGCTGGAGAAATGTGAGATTGTGCCGACAGTGTGGCGTGGTGACAGGGCTGCCTGCGTTAACTCCCCGTCCGGCCCTGGTAGCACACGTCTCCTGGGGGCCAGCGGGTCTCTGGCTTCTAGTGCCCCTGCTCACCTCCCTCCCAGCCTGTCCTTCACTCTGTCAGAAGAATCTTTCTGCAAGACCCTTGGTGCTGACCTTCCACCTCTCGTTCCCACCCATCAGTGGTCCCCGAAGGGCCTTCAAGCTAGAAGTCAAACTGCTCCGTTCCCAGGCCTGCATGATCTGGTCCTGTTCACCCATCTAGCTGTGTCCTCTGCCGCGCCCTCCTCACTCGGACTGGAAGCAGGCCCAGACTAACTGTAGTTGCCAGCAAGTGCTGCCCCGCTTCTCCTTCCATGCCTTTGCATAGTTCTGTCTAGTCTGTGCTTCCCTAACCTGTCCACTTAGCCGACTCCTAGCCATCCTTCAGCCCTAAACTCTTGACACTATGCCTTTTGGGAAAGCTTCCTGAGCTGCTCGTGAGGCCATTTCCTACACTATTCTCTGCTCCGCTGCCTTGTACATACCTGTTTTTATGTGTATCCCAGGGTACTGTGGTTTACTGTTTACATGTTTACACATCTGTCTCCTGGACTATAGTCATGACTTCTAAAGACAGCAGAGTCCACGTCCTATTCATCTTTGTATCCTAGCACTGAATAGGGCCTGCGACATGGTTAATACTCAATAAATATTGGATGAATTAATGAATAATTCCAACATGTAGTGAAATGCTGTAGTTCTTTTCAAAGGAAGGAACTGGAACAATTTCAAAGACCCTAGTTAGACAGCGGGCTTATCCAATGGTTTGGTAAAATTAATGGCTACCATTTCTCAAGGGCCTCCTACGTTCAGATGCATTGCCATGTGCTTTAAATACACCATCTCTAACCTGCACAACAACCTACAAGGTGGACATCATCACTCACCTTTTATAGATCAAGAGGCTGAGGTCCACAGATCACATGTCAGTCAGGGGTCGGGCCAGGACTGAGTTCAGGACTCCCAGGTCACAACCAGTGCTTCGTCCATCACGGCCCCTTTCCTTCTGCCCCTGAGAGAAAGGAGCCTGGTAGCGCTGGAGCTCCTCCCTTAGAATCATAGAAACTGCCCCCCTCAGGGCCCCTTCTCCCTAACCGAATGGACAAAAGCCGGTTGGCCTTGTTCCGGAGCTCAGCTACCCAACAGCTGTGGGGAGGCCCAGACGGTTCACACAGGAGTCAGCGCTGTGACATGCTCGTCGAAGATAACTCAGTCACAGGGTGTGCTAACTTTGCAGGGAGAGCCAGCTGGAGCACGTTTGTGGCACCGAGCATTTGCATTGCTGTCATCACGGTGGGCATTTTCTCAGTGCGCTACTTCCGGCAAAAGTGAGTTGGTTACACCTGCCAATTTGGCAAATGTATTTTTTAAAGTGATAATAGCTGTTGCTGCTATGAGTCAAAGAAATGGACAGTCTCATACACTGCTGGGGGCAGACTGAATTTATTCAACTTTTTTGGGTGTGGTATGTTAACTTCTAAAAAATATTATACCTTTGACCTAGCAATTCCTAACTAGAAGTTTATTATAAGTATATCATAGGTGTATGCAGATATTTAGTGGCAACATGTTCACTGAAGTATTATTCATTAAAGGAAAACAATTTGAAACCTAAATGCCCAATGATATGAAATCAGTTAACTAAATCACGATATATCTCATGCTATACAGCATATTATGCATCCATTAAAGATGATGTAGAAGAAAATTAAATGGTATGAGTATATGGTATATTATATTTTATAAAAAGCAGGTTGCAAAACAATATGTACTTTCATTTTTTAAAAGTAATGCATACACACATGCATACATATGCAAGATATATGCTAGCGTTAAATTTGGTTGTATATAACATAAAAAGCCAAAATAACACGATTTAAATGAGCTGACAGTTTCTCACCCAAGTGGAGGAAGTGAACTCAGGTGAAGAGCTGGTGCAGTCGCTCCAGAGTCATCAGGGACCTTTCTGTTCCACCGTCCTGACGCTGGCTTCCATCCTCCAGCTCCCCTCATGGTCCCACGCTGTAGGAGCTATAGCCATCATGTGGGCATTCCACAACTAGAGAGAGAAGAAAGGAGGGTCCCACACTTCCCTTTTCAGGGGACACCACATGAAGGCGTCATACATGACAGTTTTGCTTACATCTCATTGGCCAGAACTTGGTGAGGCAAGGGAGGCTTAAAATTGTGGTCTTTTAGCTGGGTTCACTGTCATCCCAATAAATCAGAGTCTTCTTCCTAAGAGGAGAAAATGGGTGTTGGGTGGCAACTGGGGCCCCAAGAATATACACGAAAATATTAATAGCAGTATCAGGGGACAAAATCATAGGTGATTTTAGTTCTATTTAACTGTATTTTCTAAAATTTCTTTAGTAAACGCATTATTTTGTAAAGAGAGGTTTTTTTAATGTTAGTTACTTAATACAAAGCTTTCTTCAGATGTGTAAAGTAAGAGAAGAGGTCAAAATAAAACTAGGTCAAAGTCATTCTACTAACCATTGAACTTGTCTGAAAGGCTTAGAATTTATTGAAGCTCCATGTATGACACTTCAAAGCAGAGCTCTCTTTAGGGAGACTCTGAAAAAATTTAACTCAAAAAGAGTCAGCTAAGATCAGATGCATCCTCTGCACGGAAATAGTATCAGTTAGGGTGAAAGCTTCTGCTGTGAAAAAAAAAAAAAAAAATGAAAAGAGGCCCCAAAATATAGTGGCTTTAATAAAATAGTTTATTTCTCTTCCGTGTAATAGTTCTGAGGTTAGTCCCCAGGTTGGTTGGCAGCTGTGCTCCTCCAGGTCACTTAGGGACCCAGTTTCTTCTATGTTATTGGCTCACCACCCCTTGGGCACCGTCGTCATCTGCACCATCTAGACTAGGTCACAGGTACCTCTTCTCACATTTCTTTGGAGAAAAACTAGTCACGTGGCCACATCTCTTGCTTCAAAGGGCTTAACACACCCTAGAAGCCTACCTTTCTTATTAAACATCAAAGCTTATTAAAGCCAAGTCTTGAAGATGTTTCATATTGGTCTTGAATTTTAAAAAAAATAGTCAAAATATTTGAGTCACATGCATTTATAAGAAACATTTTTAGGATTTTTTTTCCTTTTCACATGATAAAAGTAATATAAACTCATCTTTAAATAGTTTCAAAAACCCAGAGATGTAAAAAATTTTAAAAAGACCTACCTTTCCTCTGACCACCCAATACAATCCTGTTAGCAGTCTGGTTATTTCCCTATGGTATTTTTTTCTTGGCATTTTTTTTTACATGGTTATGTTCAAGCTATGTATACCATTTATATCCTGTTTTGTTGTTTAGTTTTACTTTTTTTCTTTCCCTATTTTAGCATAATAATTTACCTGTCATTAGACACTCTTTATAAACATTCTAAGGAACTAACTAGTAAGCTCCCCACAGGTGGGGGCAGTCTGCTTGTCCGCTGTTCCATCCGCAGCATGCGCACTGTGCTGCTCCTGCATTAGAGGTTCAATCAGTGTTTGCTGACTGAGGGCCTGGCTGCACAGTGACAGCTCGACATTACACTGAGCAGAGCCCCATCGTTTATTTAGCAAACCCAAGTGGTTGCATCAGGACCCCTTGTCATCTCTCCGAACTTCACAGCACACAAGTCCAGCCTTGGACGACGCGGCATCTCTCTCCTTCAGTGTTCGTATCTTACTCACTTGCACACCCCCAGACTGAACACCCCCACCTTGAAGTCGCTGCACTAAGAACCTGTGCACACTTCACCAGGTGTCACTGTTTTCTTTATCTACAGGGTGTTTGCTCTCCTGTCTGCCCTCAGAACTCAGTGGTGTAGCAGAGAAATTCCGGACCCAGCGAATAGCACTTGGGCCAAGAAATACCTGCTTGTGGAGGTAAGGTGTGAAGCCTGGGCGGTCAGAGGAGGGGCTTCTAGTGATCAGCACGCCTAAGTTTCCCACTGTAGCTACGAGGAAACCTGGTTGCTGAAGTCACTCATCCTAGGCTGCCATCTGGGCCAACGCTCCCGTGGCGCAGGAGCTCCCTGAAGCTTACGACCAAAAATCTACAAGACCCACAGCCGTTCATTCCTCTCTAGGCCTTATGTCCCCTCCTCACCTCAACTCACTTTAAAAGAAATGAAAAAGCAAGTATTCTTGCCACTGACTCATCCAAATTCAAGAGATCTGAAGCTTTACCACAATGTTCCCGGCCCTGTGTGAACACAGAACAGGTAAATAGAGCCCAGACCATTTTGGTCTTGGCGGGAAGCCAGCAAATCATTCCACTGTGCAAGGAAAAGGTTTGCAAGGAGAGGTTGCTTGGCGGGCAGATGAGAGAGTTGAGAGTAAAGGAAGTGAAGAGAGCCGCTGCCATGCAGCTATGGAGGTGAGACAGCTCACAGTGGGCCTGATGTCCGTCTCGGGCGCAGGGTCTGCAAGTGGAAGGCATCTGAATCAGGTGCAAGACTGTGCATTTAAGGGGGGCAAAGGGAAGGAGGTGGTATGCCGGGATCTTCCCATCGCCTGGGGCCCCGACAGCCCCGCCCTCCTCTTCTCCCTCTCACAGCCCTCCTCCTTAGCCACCAGAGCACTCCGTCGTCCACGCCCTTGCTCAGGCCAGACGCCAGTGGTCCCAGCTGCTGCTCAGGGGAAGAGCTGGTGGGCTCAGCCACGCCTGCCTCAGTAGGGACTGAGGTCACTGCTGTTTGGTGCCATTGAAATAAGGCTTGGACGCAAATCCCACTTCTGCCACTTACTGTGTGGATGACCCTTGGGCAACTTGCCTGATGGCCTGAGCCCTGACTTCATCCTCTGTAAAACAGGAATTGACATATCTCCCGTGTACACTGTTGTGAGGGTAAGCAAGGTGCCATGTACAGCATACAAGGCAAGGATTGTTACCTTCTTCCCAAGAAGACTCGTATTTAAAGTCTCATCTCTCTATCGAAGGGTTTTGTCCCTTTAAGTTATGATGGCAAGAACAGTAATAATAACAGTAGCTAATACATATATACTTTCAAAAATGATATATTTATATATCATATACATGATAGATAATTAAATATATAATTCTATTATATATTTATATGTTTATAAGACATATATTACATATGTATTACTTTCTATATGCTAGGCATTTTTAAAAACCTTTTTCATGCATTAATATCTAATCCATTCAACAGCTTTTGAGGTTGTATTATTATTCTCATCCTCATTTTTCAGATGAGGAAACAGCCACAGAGGACTAAGTAACTTACCCAACGTTAGTCAGCCAGTAAATGGTGAATCCTGGATTCACACAGTAGCATGTGCTGAAGGCCATTATCTGCACCCTCAAAGGTCTTTATATGTTATATACATCCACAGTCTACACCCTCAGGGGTCTTTATACGTCATATACGTCCACATTGTCTACGTCCTCAAAGATCTTTAAGCACAGGATGAGGCAGTGTTTCTGGCAGTCAACACCCCTAGCTGAACAGATTAACTAAAGAGGTGGTCACACACGGGGCCCTCCCCCAGTGGCAATGACATGATGACCTACAGGAAGGCAGTCGATAGAGATGCCACCGCTAGGGTTAGAGGGGAGTCAGTACCAGGAGTCGAATCCACGGAGCCTTCAGATCTCTCTCTCCCAGTGCGGAGATTCCAGGTCCCCCGCCTGACAGCCTGAAATAGCACACGGGGAGCAGCGCTGGGTCCGTCGCCGACACCTGGCTCCCAGGCTGGTGGCTTTGGCGTCGTGGGCTGTTTGCCCCTGCCTGGGCATGAGGGGAGACAGAGGCTGCAGAGCCACTGAAGGGCCTGTAAAAAGCCTAGAAGAAATGCTGAGAAAGACATGCAAAGAGTTAGAGAAAGTAATACAGGGAAAAGGTAACAGAAACTGCCACATACATGCCCAAAGCCGCATAGTATCCATATGTTCACTGCAGCATTACAGATAGAAGCCAAAAACTGGGCGTGACGTAACCTGCCACCGGGAGGGCAGATTAGACATTTGGGTCCATCCATACAACAGGATATTATGCAACTACTGAAAAAAATGAGATCTACATGTGTCTAAAAATCTCTAAGATATTTAAGTGAAAAAAAGCAAAGTTTGTAACAGTTGTCTAAACTGGGTTCTCACTTATATAAAAAGGAGGGAGATTTTACACACACCCCTCCAGCACATGCACAGGATATTTCTGGAAGCTTCCATATGAAACTGATATTGGTGGTTGCCTTTGGGGAGGGGAAGGGGGATATGAGGGCCACTTAATTTTATTACAAATTTCCTTTTAAGTCTTAAATTTTTTTACAAAATTGTGTGCATGTATTTCTCTTGCAAAAATAACTGGTGAATTAGAAAATTGGAAGAAATTTAGCTTAAACATAGCATCTGTGACGAGGGCCTCGAGGCAGCCTCAGACCCCAGGTCGCCTGACCCTTGAGGCGGGTAGACTGTTTAAAGATTCAAACCGCGCTCCCAGTGACAGGCTGAGGCCGACTTCAGAAACACGATAGTCTTCCATCTCCAACAAATGTGCTGCCATTTCTTAAGATGTGGCTAAAAAAACACGTGTCATGACAGCTCTGGAGGAAAAGGCCAAATGATAAAGGGGATCACTGGGACGTTATCCCTTTTGAGCTTGTAAAAGCTTAAAATAGTGTGCGTGAGGTCCCTGGGCCAACATCGACCTCAGAGGCTTGCCCAGGGACTCGCCGGCCGGAGGCCTGCCTTGTCAGAGCTCCGAGGGGCAGCCTGTCTGCACTGCCACGGCTTCCCAGAGGCCGCACGAACGCCTCACCTGGGCAGCCCGCAGCCGGTTCCGCGCCTGGGTTCACGCCCCCACGTCTGTGGCAGTGGCACTTGGGGAGCTCTGCTTCCCAGAGCCACAGGATGTTCCAAGCCAGACCAACGTGCCGGGGCCAGTTGGGGCAGCGACTGGAAAGGAGCAGGCTCCTGAAAGAGAAACACACACACATCCCCTCTAGCTTGTCGGGGCCCTCTGTGAAAGTCCACCCTGAGATGGCACCATCACCCACTTTTTGGACACTCGCCACACCCAAGGCAAGAAAGGACAGCAGAGGCCAAATCACTCTTGCACAATTTGGCATTTAACACACAAGGGAACCGAAGGCCAGAGAGGTTGATGGAGTTTCCCAAGCTGTAGGGTGTGGGAGCTGGGACTAGTCCTACCGGTTTGCCCTGTCCCAAGGCTATTTTTTTGTCATCCTATTCCTCCCTTAAGACATGGTCCCTCCTCATAGATGACTTATGGACACGTAAAAAAAAAAGTGACAGTACAAAGCGTTCATGTGCCAAGAACCTCCTGGGTGGTCTCCTTGCTGGCTGTTGTAGGAGGGCAGTGGAGGGAATGCTCACTAGGGGCTTCATGAAAGAGGAAGGCGTCAGGCAGGAGGTGGCGCAGCCAACAGAAGCAAGGGTGGAGGCTGGCAGTGGCCGCGCAAGTGTGGTGGCACTGAGAAGGTGTGTTTAGTGAGACCAGGACAGTGTGCCTACGACAGCTCCTGAGCGGAAACATGGGGAGGTGCAGGAAGGTGCAGGAACCTGACTGCCTAGCTAAGGGCTGGAAGCTTTACCGCGCATGGAAGCCTGGGTCATTAAACTAGGAGCTCTGCCTTAGAGAGACCAGGCAGTCAGCGTGGGCGAGTTTCGAGGACGTAAGGAGAGCCCAATAAAGTCTATTAAAAGAAATGTTAGTAAAGTGCTTGAACTTGGACTTGGGAATCAGCAGTAAGTTTGGGAAGGAAAGAAATAAGACACTGAAGAGCTGGTAGCTGATGTGAGGCTGAAAAAGAGAAAGTAATCAAGAGAAGTAACAGAGAAAATTAGCTGGAGGGCAAAAAGGATGAAAATTTCTCCCAAAAACTTAGCCTGGAGGGGTCTTTCTTAAGAACAGAACTGATGAGGATATTACCCTGCCTAAGACCTTTCAGGGGTTGTATCAAAGCCCAAACTCCTTAGCATCCCTGAGAAGTCCCTTCATCACGTGACCTCCTCCTATTTCTGAAGCCTCAGTTTGCCTGTCAAAAGGAAAGAACCAGCAGGTTCTAGAATAGACCAGTCCTCCTTACCCACCACCTCCCTACCTGGAAAATACTATGTATCTGTCAGGAGGCAGCTCCAATGTGAGCCTTTTACGTCCTCCCTGCCTCCTCCCCGAGCCAGAGGCAAGCTCAGCCTTCCCTTGGCACCCACCGCGCCCTCTCTCCTGGAGGAACAGCAGCCAGTGCAGTTGGGTTAGAGGCTGAGCAGCGTGGTGCTTCGCTCACACTGAAAGGAGTCCATGGCTCCTGCCTGTGTGCGTCCCCAACAACGCTGGCTGCTTCTCCTGCCTTGCAAAGCCAAGGGCCCAGTGTCCCGCTGCAAGCTGACTAGACAGTGCAGGCTGGGAGGCCTTTGGGGACCCTGGTTAAGTTGGTTGTCAGGGCTACTAACACAGCCACACGAGCCTCTTCCTCTGCTCTCTCAGGAGAAGACACAGCTGCCCTTGGACAGGGTCCTGACAGACTGGCCCCGTCTGGAAGAACCTGAGCCCCTGGTCATCAGCGAAGTCCTTCATCAAGTGACCTCAGGCTTCGGACATCCCCATCGCCCCAACTGGCCGGAAAAGGGACGAGGAGTCCAAAGTCACTACACCTCTGAGGAGGACACGGGGTCCAGCGCCTCGAGCCCACCACCTCCAAGGGCTCTCACAGCAGAGACAGGACAACTAGTGAATCTGTACAAGGTGCTGGGGGGCAGGAGCCCCGACTCCAAGCCGGGAAACCCAGCGGGCCCCTTGACAGTCCTGCCCGTGGACTACCTTCCCACCGAGGGCTACTTACCCTCCAACATGGACTATCTCCCTTCCCACGAGGCTGCTGTAACTGGCCCCGGGGAGGCACTGGAGCCGCAGCCCATCGCCCTCTCCATTTTCCCCTCAAGTCCCCTTCACCCGCTCACCTTCTCCTGTGGTGAAAAGCTGACTCTGGATCGGTTAAGGATGGGGTGCGGCTCCCTCATGCTATGAGTGGCAAAGCTCGAAGCTTGGCAAGTCAGCGTGCCCCTAGCCAGCACAGCATACCTGATCTACCCAGCCCCTTGCTGCAGGGTCATCACGTCTGGGTGCTGCCATCGGGCCTGCTTGCAGCTAGAGGGCAGGCAAGCCAGCTCAGGGTGACTTGGGAACTGAGAGTTGGTGGTAACCCATACTTCATCCTGCCCTCTCCAGACCCTTAGATTACATCCTCCACCATGTGGACCCAGAGACTCCAATCTGGGTTCCGGCAACTGTCTTGGCTATTTTGGCCAGAAGGGGAAAGGAGAGTGGAAACCAGAACTCTTGCCAGGACCGGCAAACAGCCCACACGACCATTCATGCAACAACTATTCGTAAGGCAGCTACTCCATACGAGGACTTATCTAGATCAGTACTGTCCAATAGGCCTTTCTGAGATAAAAATGAGCTGTTTGTCTGCACTGTACAAGAGTAGACACTAACCACATTAACTACTGACCACTTTGCAGTGTGTCTAGTATGACTGAGGAACTGAATTTTTATTGTAAATTTCAAGTCACCACCGATACTGGCTACCGTGTTGGGGAGCACAGCTCTATCACGGATTTCTAGTGAGCATTAGAGGGAACCTTCAGAACAGATCAATTTAGTTCTCCAGATGAGGATATAAAAGACCCTGATGAAGGCCAATGAAAGGGCTCCCAGGACGGTCATGACCGTCCTCATTTGCGGAAGCCTAACAATGTACCTTCTTCCTAATGTTGCTAGTTTGTTTTGCCTTCATCCTTTCAGAGAATCAAGAGCAGCTTGATGGTGGCAAGCTACTGTAAACCCACCACAGGACCCCAGGCAAGCAGCCTCCCTCTCGGAACTCTGATGTCTTACCAAGGTGGGGCCCGAGGCTCTCCAACCCCGCTCTCTCCTTTCTGCTGCAGCAGGTGCTGCCTTCAGGACCAGGACTACCTCAGGGTCTAAGACCCACACCACCAAGTTTGCACTCAAAACTTGTCCCCTTCTCGCAAAGGCATCTGCTTTCCCTCCCCAGAAAGACTGAGCTGGTCCTCAGAGAGCTCAAGCTGAGCCTGGAAGATACTTCTCTTCTCCCCAGCACACACTTGGAACGTGATCCACGTTCTACTCCTTTCAAGCTGTGGCCCCTGGCCTGTCACTTTCCTCTCGCCCATCGCTGCCTCTGTCCCTTCACTATAGGCACTTCTGCTAAGCTGCCAGGGCAAGAGTCTTGGCTAAGTGCTAATAGTTCTCTTCCCAAAAGAACAGGATGAGAGGCCCAAGAATCTTTTTCTTAAATCCCTGTCAAGCCTAGGGCCTACCCACTACGGCCATCCCACCCAAACACTGGAGCTCAGGCGGCTTTGGTTTATCAGACGTCCCTCAGAGCTCTGAAAACCGAAGCAGTGAACACGTGCTCTGCGTATTCATCCGTGCTTCGGGCCAGTCCAGACAAGTTAGTTCTGCACTTTCTTTGAAAAACTTAAGCTCTTTCCTTCCATCTCCATTCTACCCTATTCAGCAGCTGCACAGCACCCCAACACCACGGTTCTGGGCAGCTCAGCAGCTTCAGCTTTGGCTTGTCTGCACCCAGGATGTGATGCCCCCCATCAGTTTTCAATAGGCCATGACAGACAAGGCCACCTCCTCAGCAGGCCAATCTATCACCTCTTGACAATGGGAGCCAATATTTTTCTTCCAAAAGTCATGCCAACACTTGACATTCTGAGAAATGTGTTAGGCAATTTTGTCGTTGTGCGAACATCAGAGTGCACTTACACAAACCCAGATGGTACAGCCTGCTACACACCTAGGCTCTGTGGTACTAAACTTATGGGACCGCTGTTGTATATGGTTTGTCGTTGAGCGCAACACTGATGTGGCCTCTATGCAGCACGTGACTGTACCTGTTTCTCCTACTTTGATTTCCTTGACTACCTGCTATCCATCTTAAGTCTCTGCTCCCCTCCCTCCTTGGTCCCAATACCCAACTCCCAGTCTCCCTTTGATCCCCCAGACCCTTTCCCTTCCTTTAAAGCCCAGGCAATACTGCAGTCATTTGTTTTCCTAAAAAAGTAAACAAAACAAAACAAATAAAAACGTTTAAAGGGAGACTTTCTTGACTCCAAAGGCTCCTTCTAAGAATGCAAGGCCTTAGTGCCTCCCCTAGTGTGATGCCCACACCACTTACTTCCTCTACTGGACTCGCAATAACTTGAAGACAGGAAGCATGACACTCTGTTTCCCCAGCACCATACCTGGCTATCCATAGTAGGCTATCAACAAAAAGCCAAATGTGTCACCTGTCACCACTTTCATCTCACTCCTTCTTTTCCAGAGGCCAGTACAGCAGTCTCTGCTTCCTCTTTACGGCTACAATTGAGTCTGTCTGTTCCTCTTCATTCCCAACCCCCATTCTACCCCACTGTTCACTGACGGCACCGCTATAATACACGGGGCCGTGTCTTATTTTAAATACCTATTTGAGCATGCCTTTGGCTGCTCACTCTGCCAGATAAGATGTCCTCTTTCATGAATGACAGAGGATGGTGACCTCGCTCTACCCTTGCCCCAAGTAGTTTTCACAACCCTCCTCCCCCCCTACACAAAATCCCAAACCAGGTTGCCTAGTTCCACCAGGGCTAGGTGCAGCTCACCAATATTCACACAGCCAGGCTTGCATTCCTCAGGAAAATTAGCAATGATTTAAATCCTCACTCCTGATGGACATCCTAAAGTCAACCCAGAAATCTCTGCTCTCTTAAAACATCAAATTCCTTGATCTCTGGGACCTAAACACTACAAATAGAGTCCAACTGCATTCTTAATGGATTCCTAGTCATGTCCACCATTAATTCTTGTGTGGAGATCCTTACCTTGAATTGTTCCTTAAGGGGCCCTCTTTCCCAGAAGCCAGAGATTCTATTTCCTGGGCTTTTGTCTTCCTTACAGGCAATATGAAAGTCAAACTAGTGTTATCTAGTTCTTTCCCTTTGCTGCCTTTTCCCCTCCACCCTGTCCCAATCTCTCTGTTTCCTTTAATAGCCTACAGGGACAACACCAATGCCCTGAAGCCAGGGAGAGAGATCAAGCTAGGCATTCTCTTCTGGTCAATGCGCCCTGTCCAGTCCTTGGTTTTTCTCCATCAAGCTCTTTGTCTTTCACCTGATGCCTTGTCATCTGTCCCAGTATTGCTGCTCAAGCCTTCCAAAGGAGCCCTGTTTTTCTCTTCCTAGCATGCAGATGTTCACATTAGCCACCCTCATGAAAAGCTGACAGGTGAACCCTCAAGTAAATCACTCTCTAGAGTAAGAGATCAGAAAGGTCTCTTCTTCCCCCTAAAAAAAGGTAAGCAATTCCATTAATTGGCTAATTGATGATGAAAAGAAACAAGTCAGATCTTTACATCACGGCCTATACTGGAATAAATTTCCACTTAAAACTTTGCAGGGGCCAACCCCATGGCTGAGTGGTTAAGTTTGCGCGCTCCGCTTCGGCAGCCCAAGGTTTGGATCCTGGGCATGGACATGGCACCACTCATGAGGCCATGTTGAGGCAGCGTCCCACATGCCACAACTAGAACAACTCACAACTAAAATATACAACTATGTACTGGGGGGATTTGAGGAGGGAAAAAAAAAAAAGATTGGCAACAGTTGTTAGCTCAGGTGCCAATCTTTAGGAAAAACCAAAAAAATTTTGCAAAGCTCACATACATGAAAGTTACATAACATTTGCAATGTATGCCAAAAATAACTTCTTAATAAGGTGCTGTTACAGATCAATAAGAAAAAAGCCAACACTTCAAAGAAAAATTAGCTGAGTGAGCAACTCACAAAACACATGTAAATGTCCCATAAGCATGAAAAAAAACAATCACCTGTAACCAAAGAAATGAAAATTAAATACCATTTTTCACTTACCAAATTAGGAAATTACAGAAAAAATTAGCCAGTGTTAATCAGAGAAACTGCTGTTTGCAAATTAGTTGGCTCCTTTCTGGAGGCAGTTGGGCAATATTCAATAAAATTTGAATAAGCAACTCCATTCCTAGCTATGTAGACTAAAGAATAGCATAAATAGCATAAATTGAATAAAGAATTCATCACAGCAGAGACCCAGTTAAATCATCTACACAATCAAAGACTGAATTTCACAGAATCTAAGACTACACCAGTCTAAGACTACTCCGTTACTTTACGTTCTGAATAGGGAAAAATGTTGATTAAAACTAATATACCATCGATTTCTATGGTGCACATTCCACCCCCAAACACACACATTCTAACATGCTTGAAATTGGGATGGATCTTAGAATTGATGAAAAGCATACTATGCAGTCCTTTAAAAAGTCTAACAACATTTGACATGGAAATGGTCAGTTACAAAAGGCTGAATAGAATGACCTCACTTTTATAAGTCAATACAAAAATTGTTTTTAAAGAATATACTATACACCAAAATGTTAATAGTGTTACTTCCAGGTTTTTAAATTACATTTCTGCATTCTTTTCATCACAAATACTCATACTTTCATAATTGGATAAAATCATTAAAATATAAAATATTACCATTTTCCTTCTGAAGACCTGAGACAGTAGGTCTAGAGAAACACTACCAACCACTTTCTTTACGGCCCATGTCTCTTTCATTCTCCACCTCCTGTCTGGCATTTTCATTGACCCTTAAGTGCTCCTGTCACACAGTAGAAAAGGCAAAGAAGATGACCGACTAGGTGAGGGTTGGGGATGTCAGGGTAATAACTGAAGCAATCAATCTTTCAAATACAAGGTTTATGTAACAAGCCAATTTTTGCCAAATTCCCATTCTAGTAGGTAGTAGGAATTGTTAATAGTAACCAACATCTAACACAGTACTTAGTACAGGCAGTTTTTAAGGGATGTAATTCAGTTCTGACCACAACTGGTTAAGGTAGGTGTTATTTCCACTAGAGAGATGAGGAAACAGTTAAGTAACTTAACCAGTCACACAACTCAGCCCTGATCCTGGAAAGTGTGGTTTAGAGTGTAACTTTCAACTACGGAAT